CCGTTCAAATGAACCTCTTTTTCTCATGTGTACACGCATTTTCTTTTTAATTACCAGTACACTCTGGTTCTGATAAACCTAATAAAATATTACATTTTGTTACTGTACTTCCCACCAATTACTCTTTATCAGTACAAAACCCCTAATGCATGAAAAAATACATCCTGGACAAATTCATCAAGGCCACAAGCCACAACAAAGCATGAGAATTTCAGCTATGATGATACACCCATAACTACTGCTAACAATGTGGCAAGGAATTATGTTTCTATAGACTTGCAAGTTTGTTAAAAAAGAAAAGAATGCTTTATAATATTTTACTCTGGGAAAATTGCTGTCAGAACAGAAAAGATAGTTCTATCGTCTCAGGATTCAGATGAACCTAACCTCAATTAATTTGGAATTTACAATTAACCATGAAAGCCACACTTTGTCATTCCATGCATAGCTTCTGTTTCATGTGGCTGTACACTATGAGCAATAAAAGACTTCAATGTAGGAAAAAAAAAAAGTTTCAAATATCTCACGTCTCGGGTTTCTGAAATTCTGTGCTTAGAAGTAAAAACATCTCTTTTATTTTGGCATTGTACTATGTTAATCAAGATATTTTAGATATGATGTGCTCTTCAAATAAAATTCCAGTTCTGACATTTTGAAACTGACCCAAATTTTAACAGCATTTACTGCTCATTTACATAACTATTATCTTCTTTCGCAAGTGTCTTTATAATATATTTATCTTTCCATATATTTAAAGACACAAGAAACCAAAATATGTTCAGCTCCTCAGGCCCAGACAGGAGACTTGGGGTAACTGCTAATATGTTTAAACCACAGAAGAATGTTTCATTACAATTTATGTTTCGAACTCCTGTGCTCTTAAATCTGTTAAAGATAAGTTGTCTGACGGGCGATGATCTGCGTTGAGATAGTAACTAGGTGTAATTCTCACTTTGCCTGTGTCACATGAAACCATTTTTACGACGATTCGGGCTAATTAAAGAGTTTATTTTGAGGGGGAAGTAAGAGACAGAACAAGGGCCTATCAAAATAAATCCGCTGGAGGTTCACATGATGTTGGGAGAGGATGACTGCTGAAATTTCTCGAGCAGCAGTCACACAACTCCGCGATGGTGGTAGGGGCTCGTTTAGCTCCGAGCTAGACATACGCATGTATCTTGTGCGCGATGTACGGGCAAATCTTTCATTTTTCTTTCATTACCCCGCCATGTACTGTCACTTAATTTTTTTGTATGCAATCCTTCCTGACAAATATGAGCTGCTGCCTAGTAATTCGTTTGACGTCCATTCTGTTTTTTGCTCTAATTATGGCTTCTTTTTCTGACATTGAAGCGGTCGCACTGCCAAAGCTTTATAGTACACCTGTCAGGCTGGTTGTGGCACTGTCTAATGACCTTTTATGCCAGTCTGTTGTTAGCAAACACATACAAAAAAAATCACTGTGAATATATTTGCATAGGCCTCTTCTCCATATATGGGTCAGCAACCTTAAGGGTGGGAGTTCAGAATTGTTGCCAGGGCAACATGAACATTCTTACTACAGCTTTAGCTTGTTAGAGCCGATATTGTCTAAATTTCCTTTTGCTGCCCCGGCTTTCATTAAATTGAATCTATATTTCCGCTTTCTGCCGTTAATGAGGATTCCTGTAGGAAACGTTTATTTTTTTGGATTCACGCACACGCCGAGATAAATAAAAACCAAGGCGATCTGCTCTTATTTTCCCATCCGGAAACACAAAAAAAAAAGTTTGAAAAAAATCCAATTATCATGTGTACCGTGATTTTAGGACTTAAAATCTCCACCGGGCCACAGACTTATCTGACATAAGTGAGCACATACAGTACTGTAAAGAGCTAGATAAAGCCAAAAATATTCTCAGGAAAAAATGTTTTGTATTTTCAGAGTGGGTCTGCTGGCAGCCTGAATTAGTTCTTATGGCTGTCATTTTTTAAAAATAATTTTAAAAGAATGGTTGCCTACATACTGTACACGTAGAGAGGACAATTTCCATCTTTTATGAAGATTTCTTTCTTTCCTCTGTTATCCTTCACTCAACCGTGTGGTTCTCTCTAGCGTCTTTCACAGAAAAATGCACATATTTCAAACTGGGAAAAAGACAATGCAAGTGTTAAAAAAAAAAATCACTACTGGTCCAGCTCTGTCTCCCACAAAATGTCAGATCTGCTCTGAGCAGTCAAAGACAGGCAAGAAGCCGTAATT